ATATATATATATATATATATGAAAAATTCTGTATTTTGTGGAAAGTGGCATGATGGTAAACTGCTGATTTTTTTTCATGCACAAGAGAAAGCTGTGGGGACCAAGCGCCATCTTGCGGCAGTTACACTGCAGACTATACAGTCTAACAAAAACTTGACTGAATTAATCATTTACCTTGATTTACAGTAAAATGACTAACAGCAGTCAGACAACTGATACTGGTTTAAAAGACTGCGATGTATTGTAGGTGCATTACAGTACCTCATGCATTGTGAGCAGGTAGTTCAGAATACTCTGCAGTTCGTCTTCCTTTACGCCATGATCCTACATTCACACAACACACAAGCATTACCTGAACTGCACTTCTCATGATGGAGTTGATTTATTCAGATCGTATGCATGTTATGGTCATACTAGTGTACCTTCATGATAAGTTGCTTGACAAACAGCAGCAGGAACGCTCGGAGAGAGAGAATCTCCTTCTGATTTGGTCTCGGCCCATCTGATGCAAGATATCAACCAAAAACACTCATGTAAATAATAGTCCATGGGCCTACGTTTGTGATAATACTAATACATATTTTTTTGTTTTTTGCTTTGTTTTGTTTTCTGCGTCCTAAAGGAAAATCAGTTTAGAAATAACCATTTTAGATCATTTTTCTTTATAAATTGCTGGAAACAAACGGAAGAGAATATTTCACTCATTTAATGTAACCTTAATTTCATTTAATGAGATTTGAATGAGACAAGCAATAAAGCAGTCTACTGTGGAAATTACACACAAAACACACTGAAAGACAAATTGCTTAGTTATTGCGGGACGGGATGATTTCCCACAGCATCTTTAGTGCAAACCTGCAGTGCCCTTTTTATCTGGAAATATATTTACAATGACGGCGTTTATAGATTAAAGATTGAAAGAATTAAATATTAAATGCATAAAGTTGCAACATCTTAGCAAAGACTCTAGACCACCAAATGAGTTATAAGATTATGAGCTTAAACTAATACTGTATAAAGTAGGGTCCAAAAGTTTGAGACCAGCCAAAAAATCCAATTTGGGAAAAAAATAACTTTTTATTCAAACTATTATGCTAATAATATAATTTGCAACAAAAATAAACAGTACTAAATGTGGGGGGGAAAAAAGATGTTTTATTACTGTTCTCAGATTTTTGGACATCACTGTAGCTCCACATGGAGCTTTTTTGACCCTTATTCCTTAGGCTCAAGATGTGTTGAGAAGTTGGTTTAGTTCTGCAGCAGGCTGCTCTCTTACCGAGACCCTTGGGTGTGATTCCACTGCGGTCCAGTGGGTTTACAACCCAGTAGAAATACTTGAGTGTATGCATGACCTGCAGTACAGTTCCAACTCTGCGGATGGTGTTGTAGATGTTGACGGTGCTGATGAATTCTGTGGCCAGGTAGGTGTAGAGAACCAGCTGTACCTGTTGGGGGCAGCAAATCAGTTTAAAACACCCATGAAAAGTCACATTTGAGAGAACAAAGAATTGGTAAACCATTAAGCTAGCATGATGCAACAGCATCGGTTTGAGTAAATGTTTAAGATACCTTAGCTGGGGCATGAATCCAAATGGTAGGGTTGAAGAGGATGTGGTCACACAGCTGTTTCAAGAGCAAAACTCCAGTCGGAAGGTTGCTAAGATAACGGGCGAAGGCAAGGATAATGTCCAGCACAGGTCGTGTCACGTGTACTTTGGAAGACTGAGAAGAAGATACAAACATGTAATCAGTTAATAAACTTGGTCACAAAAAAATTACCAAGAATCAACAGATTGCTTTAAGCTGTGCCACAGCAAACCTTGAGATCGATCTCAGGTTTCTAATGTTTCTTAAAACACCTGGGCTGATTCCCAATGTGCAGAGGACTCACTGCCCTAACAATCACAAGAGAATCCTTTCACTTTTTTTAGTCTTAAAAGTGCAGCATAGGACAATTTTTTTCAAAGCAACTTAAATATTTCAAAAGCTTTCAACGTTTGCACATTTTAGGGCATTTTTTAACACATACTAAATCCATTTTAGTCTTGCATATATTATTTTATTTTTTAAGATTAAGTGTAATGACTTGATGTGACAACTTGAGGCCAGATGAGATCTTAAGTGTCAAGAACATTTCCCTGTAAGCCGAGGTAAAAGTAAAAAAATTACTGGTTAAGAATGAAAGTGAGTGTGCACAGAAAAAGGTAGAGCAAGAGAAAGACTTGCAAAACAAACAGAAACAGGTGGTCTAGTTAAAGGCAAAGGACAAGGTTTGAGTATTGAAAGTGTTTTTCTTGGTTACAAAACAGATGATCGTGTGACATCCAGTTTGGTACGGTACTATGCATTCTCAAGCATTACACTTTGTTCTATCTCTGTGTTACCCAGCAACTTCTGCAGGCATATATTATGATGTAATATAAATCTCAGGTATCCCCAGAATGTGTCTGTCAAGTTTCAGCTCAAGATCATTTATTATACGGTTTTGAAAATACCCATTTTGATTGGAAGCAAAAACATGCTGTTTTTGCACATGTATCTTTAAATGCAAATGAGTTGCTGCTCCCTGCCTCCTTTCCAGAATAGGGCTGTGCCTTTACAGCTCGTATCTCGGATATTCTGCCAAAACAAAACGATAGGTTACTTGCATAACCCGGTTCTCTGATAGCATTAAGTGAGGTGTTTCACTAAGGGATACGCCCCTACCACGTATTCCTCAGAAGCCCAATTACATTACACCAGCCCCAGTTGGCTGGCAGACATGTCAGGGAGTGGCTCCCTCCTCTTGGTATAAAAGGAGCGACGCAACGTCATTACGACATTCAAAACAAGCACAGCTTCGCACAGCAAGGAGGGTGTTCTGGTGAGACACTTCACTTAATGCTATCAGAGAACCGGGGTTACGCAAGTAACCCATCGTTCTCTTTCAAGCACACGTTTCGGTCTCTCACTATGGGATATCCTTACTCCCGTATTGCCAGATAGACCATCTCAAAGTCTTCTGCCAACCAAAGATAACTATAATAGGGCTGGTTGAGTCATCGCTCAAGATCCAACGCTCAATTCTGCATGTGGCTTGTTTTGAGACACTGCTTATGATTTATGGGGATTAATAAAAGGAGTGGGTGGATTTTTATCATTATAGAGTGGTTGTGTACACACACTGCCAACACACATTCATGATCAAACACCAAGTAAAAGTGAATTTTGCATAAAAGTTCCCCATTAAAAAGGACTCCCTTATATGCATTTTAAGAGTATGAGCTTATTTCAAACATTAAAGTTTTCTCCTCTTTTCTTGTGTTTCAGCATTAGCAGGATTTAAACTGTCTTTGGATGCACATGTTCCACGTACTCAATGCACAAAGTAATATTCATGTTCATATTCATGTACTTACCTTCTCCAGTGAGTAACCAATGACAAGAAAGCCCTTGCAGGACAGCACCTGCTCTTGCATAGCTACAGAGCCCTTCAACAGCTCCATCACAAACAACAGTAGTGTGCAACTGAGAGAAAGAACAAACAACAGGTTAGCTTCAGTAGAGAAAGAACTAACAACGAAATGATAATAACACATAGACCTAATCTAGTTCAAGAATTAGTTCAAATGAGGTGGAAAAAAATTTCAGTAAATGTTCAACTTTTATGGGCCTTCTGTTTGGAAGCAGCTTGAAGATTCTGCAAAATATCTCTTTTGTGTTCTATGTAAAACAGTCATGAATTTTCACTAGTGCAGTTGATTTACTGCGCTAATTTGGTGCGAAACAATAAAGCATTAAAATGATTAACACATTTAACATGCTCTGCCCCAGACCTGTATGTCATCTTACACTGCATGCAGTTGCTGACTAACATGATGCAGGACGATGATGCACCCTGTCTTTATGGGTTTTTGTCTTATATTTATATCATATGATACAGTTTAGCAATAAAACACAAGCAAGAATGCTGTTTTTTTCCCTGATTATCTACACAATAACTATACGTTACATCTTAGACACAATATTGTCAGTATTGTCTGTTTTTGCTCAATTTTACCAATGAAAATAGTTCCAATCAAAGCCACAGCAGAACTGTTGTGTGTCTCCAAGAAACACACATCAGTTTCGTTCCTGAATGAATCTGTTTTTGAATGAATCGAGTGAGCCAATGATTCAGTTCATAAAGAAAGTCCTACCTTCGTTGAATGAATTGGTTGAATGAATGACTCAATGACTCACTCAGTAAGACAGTGACTTGCTGCCAACTACTGGAGGTTTTAGTTTCATATTTGGAGTATCATTTCTTTTTTTTTTCTTTTTTTAAATCATTTCATATTTCAATATTCTTTTTTTTTTTTTTTAAACCCATTAATGCCCATTTAAAACCCATTAGCCTCACAGCATTATTTATGCAATACTAATTGCAGTGTAAATGTTGTTATAAATAGCTGCTCCAAAAGCGATGATGCAAAAATATCATGCTACTGTCGTCAATACAACTGATCAATCTGGTCATTTTGATAATGTAAAAGAAAAAAAAACAGCAAAATTCTTCATTGAGGCATTTGTTTTCCAGGTAACACTCATGTTAGTACTACAGCCAATCATGGTTACATATTTAACTTTGTATTGGCTCCTAGTCAATGCTATGTCCACACAAATTAACACTGAATAACACCAAGCACTGACCTCTAGAGGACCAAACCCTATTGCCAAAAACAGATTAATGGTTTGTGTACCATGAGAAAACATCTCCTTTAAAAAGCTGCTATAGTGCGTCTGCTGGGTTTAACAACTCTAGGACAGACAACATGAACTTAATTTTCAGTTTTTCCTGGCCAGTCTAAAACTGAGAGGAGCTCAATCTTTTTTTCCTCACCGAGTATCCCTTTCCTAATTTTCATTTCCCCCCCCAGGCAGAGTTTGTGTGTTCTCACCAGACGGAAGAATCCAGCTCGTCGCCGCTGTGCTGTAGGAAATCCAGCTGTGCAAACAGGGGGAAAAGAACCTGAACTCCTCCTATAGAATGGATGGCACTCTGAACCGAGTGTGTCACCACAGCTTTGACGTCCTGAGACATAGAAAGGCTTGATGTTAGGTTTCTTTAGTAATTTTATGTCATATAACGTCATTATGTTGTGTAACACAGAGACCCTCTGATCAACACAATTCATAGTATTGTCATCTTCTTAATGTTCTGCAACAGTTATTCCTGAATGAGAAGGTTATTTCCTAAACCTGTGCTCTGTATGCATGGGGGGGGGG